AGCTATTTATTTAGGGAAAAACCAGAAGCATTCGTCTTTAATATATAAACATTTTATTTTTTACTGTACATTAAACACCAATATTAATCATTATTTGTTCTATCGACCTAATCAAAACAAAAGCACATCAACACTCAGACTCATCATTTATCTCTGAGGTAATTTATTCTAAAACAAACAAACAGTTCGAAGACTAATATCCAATTAAAGGCATGAGAATTTATTATCAAAACTGTCGGGACAGTTTAATGCTTGTATGGGAAATGCTGGTGTGAGCACCGTTTCTGGTGCTGTGCTGTTTTTATTTTATTTTATTTTTTCAGTTCAAGCCATTACTTAATTCAAGACCCAGCAAAAACCAGAGCAAAAATCATAGCAAGTGTTTTACATTACATGTGGAAAAATGTTTTTAAAAAAAGCATTTCTCTTTTGTAAAGCTATTTATTTAGGGAAAAACCAGAAGCATTCGTCTTTAATAAATGAAATTTATTAAAAATAGGCCTAAATGTCCTCATAGATCCTCGTATAAAACAAAGTGCTCAACAGGAGTATGAAGACAATGTTTGTGTGACTCCACCTCAAAGTATAGGGTGGATACCAAACCTCAAAATATCCCATGCTGCCTAGAAGAACATCACAACAGCCCTTCTCTTTCAGTTTGCAGGACATCGCAATGGTTTGATCACCTGAGTGTGCACATGCATGCACATATCTGAGCTCGGCTCAGGTATGCAAGCTTGATACAAATCTCGTCAGAGATTCTTCCAAGGAAACCTAGAAATATGCAAGATAAACTTGAGCATGCATAAGGATAAGATAAACTGTAATTTAAAGACTAAAAAGACGTGACTTCAAGCATACACACACACACACACACACACACACACACACACACACATCTGCAATAACAAGTGTGAGCTTTGTGGCATGTTGAACATTTATGCCTTTGTTTGGAGTCAGTTTTTCCTAGACGTGGTGACAGCAACAACCTTTTGGCATTTTATTATAAAAAAGTGCAGACAGACTCATGAGTTACACACATGCATGCAAGCAAACAGACACACAAAATTGACAAAAGATACTGAAATCATCTCAGAGACTAAGAAACATGGATTTGTTAGACAAACAGAGACTGCTGCACTGTTTCAACAGGACGCTGGTGAGGAGTTCGGTGCGGAGAAAAACACAAACTCAACACAAACACACAATCCAGTACTGCTGAAGACACCTACATTAAATTACTCTTGAATGTAACTTTTCAGAGAAAAAACTGGAGTGCACGCCTACTGATAAAGCAAAAAGACCTCTGCAGACATCCATTTTCACCCAAAGCGGTACAGACTAGTTCCTGAGCAAACGACTTGGCCAGAACTTAGTTGCAGCAAAAAACACACAAAATGGGTCAACAAGGCTTGTGCTTTCCTCTGGCGCTGTCTGTGTGTGTACTGTCAACATGACCTTGAGGTACCACCACACACGACACACCCATGACCTCATGTGTGTAAGCGCACACAAAACACACCCGACTCAACCGAAGCTTAGCGCTGTATTCAAACAGCACAAAGGCCTTCACTCCGACCTGCCAAAAACACCACTTTTCACAGGTTTCCCCTCACTTGATGGCAGCTGACTCAAAACTAAACTTTTGAAGTTAGTTATTACTTGCCTGTTGAGGCATAATGAACAAAAACAGACAAAAGCTGCCTCATTTCTAATGAACAGTGTACTCAGTAGACGCTGGTATATGAAGGGACATAATAGCTGAACATTCCACAATGCACTTAGATACATTTACTACCCTTGAGCAAAAGCTGCATGGGTGTGTGCAAAAGTAAACACTAGTCAGAACACCACATCAAACCTGCAAACTCCTGCTACTTGTGGGTAAAAATGATGGCAGTGCAAGGCGGTATTAAACACACACTGAACTGTTTGCAGCTGCTGTGGGTGTCAAAGACACCATCTGTGAATTGAACAGGGAATGATGGTAAACCTTAATGTTTTTGGTGCAATAAATCTTGTGGATAGGAGTTACACTGTATAAAATTAGGGGTAGGTTTTTATTTTTTGAGGAGCAGAGTGACGTATACTGGTGAGTGAAAGGAGCATTTGTATCCAACACTAGGTGCAATGGCAGAGCCAGGGGTTGGCCAATGGTGGCCATGGCCACCATAGATGAATCTCCAGGCACCTCAAAGGCCACCCCAATCATTTGAGGAAACTATACTTTTAAACAGTATAAAAACTAGAAGCATAGTTTCCTCAAATGATCCGGGTGGTCAGTTTACATGGTGTATGTATATATGTATGTATGTATATATATTACATAATTTCGCTCCACCACATGTACCACGAGGTGCGAATGACAATAAAGAAAATCTGACTCTGACTCTGATATATATATATATATTTATTATATATATATATATTGTGGTGGTGGCCATCTTGGATTTTAACGTGACAACCCAATTTTTGATAGTGATTTTTCTTATCTAACTGCAGCCTAACACCAAAAATGGAAAATGGCACATTTCTTATTTTTCAAGTTATCAGGCTCACAAGATGTGGATTTTTAGAGATCTTTTGAAACGTTGCTTTATAAATAAAACTATATCGGGTTGGTTTCTTTGACAAATATGGTTTGAAACAAGTTAACGAGCCTCTTCAGGATCATCTTGTGAAGGTGGTTTAGGTGAGGTTAATTGTGGATATAAGAAAGAACAAAAAGGAAAAATAAAATAAAAAAACAACAACTTATATTTCTGTTGTGTCTTGACATCATTACATTGTTGCTTTGAGCACGCTGAAT